ATAATGATAAAGATATATACGCCGGGTCTATCACTATTGTAATTAAGTAAGTTGACCAGTAACATCTAACGACCACGTGTACGTAATATTTGAGAGTGAATATTAAGCCAGTAAGAGCAACCATTCACTACGATCACTTATATTTGAACTACATGTATGTATGCAATTACCTCTGAGTGGGAAACTGTTGTGGTTATCTCCATTCTTGGACTTATAAATATAAACGAAATAAGATTTTTGAAAATAGCTCTCTGTAAGTTCTGCAAATATGGCGAAGATAGCAATGATGTCCGAAGGATCAATATCAGCGATTGGCTTAATTGTTTAAATTTGTTATCAGGCCTTGCGGTCATAAAACTTTCGAGCACGATTTTCGTACTCAGACTCAGAAATCAACCAATCAAAATCATGGATTTGGTGTTTCGAGCACAAATTTTGTACTCCGAGTACTGAGTAAAGTTTTATGACCGAGAGCCCAGAACTAAAAGAATTTGTTAGACCGTACATGTTAGACTTCAAAGTACTATGATTTTATATGTCAACGTTAGCGATTGGTTGATCGCACTGTCGAGTTTTTTTTTGACGATATTAACAGAATTTTGTTAGACCACACGGTCTCACGGTCTTACTTTGTTAGTTATATAAGAAGGCTAAAAAACCTAATATATTTCTTATATTAAAAGATAAAAGGTATAGGATGGGGTAAATATATGACACTGAACGTGAAACAAACCATAATCAATCAATTTAATATTACTCTTAATATCAGTGTAAATTAAATATACTTCTTCTGCTAGGCTGCTAGTGCTGTGGGGGTATATGTTGAATAATTGAAAAATGAGTAATTGATAAGGTAAATCTTGGTACACAAGAAAAAAAGATAACACTAGTGATATAAAGATTCCTCTATCAAAAAATATATGTGATTAAAATAAGTAATAATTGTATGTATTTATATAAGTTATAAAATACATTTACACCATGATTACATTGAAGGTATAAGGATACTCTACATTTTTTCATGATAATCATGATCACCATAAACGTAGTCAAATTTCAGAATGAATTTCAATTTAAATTATGCTTTCCTGCAATCTTACATAATCCATTTCTAGCTGTTATTTATAATTAACTTAATTAATAAAGTAACATCAATTTTCAATTCAAAAGCGGTTAATGTACAAAGAGAAGGAACTTTAGCAGGTTAATGGTGCAAAATCCGCAGGGGCCGTATCAGCAGGTGAGTGTTCTAGACCCATCTCGACAGGGGTACCCTTCTCCCACCTCCCGCCCCCTATTTACCACCTCCCTCTTTTAGAATCTTTTTTTCTCTCCCACCTATGTTTAGTCTACCAACCCCCACCCCCAACCTCCCACCTCCCTCAAAAGATGTCCACCTCCTCATACATATCACAAAAATAAGCTTAGTTGCCTTTAAAATTCATCTTTGGTCATCTTTTAAGTTATCATGCATTTACCAGAGACATTAAAAAAATCTTGCATTTTTTACACACATGGTAACTTGCTCAAATATGTCTTAAATGTTTATGGAAAGTGTTATATAAACTTTTCTTTTTTTGTGTGTGCGGTCCTGTGCAACAATTTTAATCTTTTTAACCGATGTATTTCTTATGTCTATAATGTTATGAATATCAAGAGTTGCCTCCCATACACCATGGATTTGACCCTTTCAGGACAAACAATTAATTGGGAGTAACTTTCAGTAGTCTCCCATTAAGAACAGTTTGTGTGGTAGTTAAAATGTTTTGTATAATCTATAGTTTCAACAATAAAATAACTGAAAATCAAGTAAATATCACACAATTACAGAATTACAAGACTTTTTATGCCAATACATTGACTGAAATGAAAAAAGATAAAAATAGGTGATAAGGTTATTCGTTTGTCTTTAGGTCTTTTTTCTTTTAACACTGATCTATGTCTACAACATATGAGGGTCTGGATGGGTTTACAGAATAGAGCATAATAGGCAAACAGGGCAGAATAAAGGGCAATAAAGATACAGAATAGAGGAAAACAAGTAAAATAAAATAAAGAATAGAGAATAATGTGGTGTTATATTATAAAGAATAAGTAATAGTGTTAAACTGTAAAACAAATATAAAGGAAAGAGAAAAATGGCTTAAAAAAAGCAATGAGAAAACATTAAATTTTAATGAAATGGTTATAAAAAAGGATGTTTATGATTGCTAATGAGGCAACTATCAATCAGAGTTCATAAAACTAATATAAAGCAATTATAGGTTACCGTACAGCCTTCAACAATCAGAAAACCCATACATGAAGTCCTAAAGTTTTTTTCTGCATAAACAGGCAAAGTAGTTATTTACACACTGTTCATTAGCAATCATACCACATCTCCTTATTATTTATTTTTGTTATGTAACAACACAAAATATGTCCTTTGTGGTAAATTATCTTTTGGATTTTTTTTTGTTTTTCCCGAGGGAGGAAATGTGTAGTTTATAGTTGTCACAAGTCAGTTTTTACCATTTTGTTTGGGCCTTTTTTTTTTTTTTTTAGCTCACCTGGCCTAATGAGACACGTGACCAACTATGGTAGATTCAAAGGTGGGCCCTAGAGGGTGTACACTATTTTTTAGCATAAAATTTTCTTAAATATTTTGGCCTCGCTCTGCTCGCCAATGTATATAGCAGTATATGCTTTTACGACCCTCCTTTCAAAATTTCTGGATTTGTCCCCAACTATTGCCATCATTTTGAATTTTTACTGTTGTCCATTGTTTTCTGTCACAGATGACAACAGATATATTCTACTTGTTTTATCCATAATCCAGTCCTCTTTTCTTGGATTGTGAAGTCACTGATTGGAACTGGCCCCAGGAACACAGTAATCATCCTATGATTTTGGTGGTCCACAAACATAATTTGTAGTGTGGACAGTCACTCACACAGTATTTCTTCCAAATTTTTTTCTTTCACCTTTCGAATTTATTTCTCTGTTTTGGGCATAAAATAGCAAGTAGGGGATGCAGTTACACTAAAATAAAACATGAATTTTAAGGTAGTTAAAAAAGTTCAAACAAAAATGTCTGAAGCTGTCAAACTAAACTCAAAAGACCTCCTCAACATAACATTGTCCATATTTTGAGTTATATAATTTGTCCCAAAGGTAGCACACTTCACTAATAAACTGCTTCGCTGAGCGCAGCTGGATACGCCGTAGAGGTCCAACACTGAACAGTTGGGGCAAAAGTGGACACAATATTCAAGCTCGATACAGGTCTGAATTTGGATTGTATTAAATATTTAACATATTATAGGTTTCTGAATAAATGTAGTCAAAGAACTTGAAATTGGTTATATGAATTGAATTTATATTCAATTAAAGATTTCTTGCTGTTGTGCAATACACTGTGCTGTTGCGCAATACTTAGTAAATCTGTTGTCAGACTATAAACAATTAAAGTTCAATTAATTCTCAATCATATAAGAAATTTATGAAAATGTAAAGGGAGCTTACATCAATAGATATAAATAATTCACCAAAGTTTCATGAGAATTGCTGACAGCATTTTTGAGTTATTGTCCAAAGACTGGAAAATCCCCCCCTTTTTAATGAATAAAACCCCGTAACTCAGAAATGTAAAATGTAAAATTTATAAAATTCTAAACTGAGCTTACATCAATAGCTCACCAAACAATTCACCAAAGCTTCATAAGAACTGCCGAAAGCATTTTTGATTTTTTGTCCGAAAACTGGAAAATCCCGCTTTTTTTATGAATAAAACCCTGTAACTTGGGAATGTAAAATCTAAAATATATAAAAATCAAAAGGGAGCTCATGTCAATAGATATAAACAATTCACCACAATTTCTTGCAAGTTGGTGAAAGCATTCTCAAGTGTTTGTCCGAAAACTAGAAAATCTCCCTTTTTTTTAATGAAACCCCATAACTTGGAAACGTAAAATCTAAAATTTATAAAAAACAAAAGGGAGCTCACGTCAATAGATATAAACAATTCACCAAAGTTTTATGCAAATTGGTTAAAGCTTTTTTTAGTTAATGTCCGACATGTTGATGACGGACAGACAGACGGACAACGGTAAACCATAATACGTCCCGTAAACGGGCATATAAAAATCTTATCTAGAAAGCGCAGGTGATTTTTTTAATCTGCTTTTTTGTTTCAAAGAAATGCACTATAGAATAACCAAGTTCTCAGGTCAACTAATCACAGAATTTTTATTTACAATGATTAACATGACAGGTATCCTGGTGGAGCATGAATTGCTTACCCACCGAGTTCACTCCTGTTTTTTATGGGTTTTTGTAGCTCAATCCTTTATTTTCCGTGTAGTTTTTTGGATTGCTGTTTTGAAAATACTTATGGTTTTTGATTTCCTTTTGGTATTATCTTCCCTTTTTAAATAAACTTGACACAAGAGATATCTCGATTTTGTAATTTCGAGAGTAAAATGATCAATTAATTAGGTCAAGGTTTGCTGTGGATATGTTTTTTTGTCATAAAAAGTCTTCTGTCCAAATTTCATAAAACACAAAAAAGGTTTGAGAAAGCTATTGATGTCTAAAAAAAACTTTTTAACTACAGATCATCTAAATGTGATGCTGCCACCAGAATCTAGGATCGCTATGTTGGAGGCTTGACAAAAATCTGCTTTCAGTCATCAAAACATGACCCTTTGTGACCTTACAAGAGCGACAAACAAATCTAATGTAGCAAAGTGAAAAAGTTGTGATTTTGATCAGATTGACATACATGTTTAACAATGTCATTTTCCTTGCCTGTCCTGAGCCTGGAACCTGTAATCTAGTGGTTGTTGGTTGCTGTCAGTCACTTTTTCGTTTGTAGTACAAATCTTGCCATTTGTTTTCTCTTTCAGATTGTTTTGCATTTTATCATGTATGGGTTTGCTCATTGGTGAAGAATGTATAATAGTAACCAGTAATTGTTCACAACTTTTTCCTTTGGAAAATCAAGAAATAAAAATACGATGTTGAAAAATTTTTGTTTTATTTAGAAAAAAAATATGAATATTCTATAGGAAAAAGATACAATTCTAATACAATAGTTACAATTCGTTACACAAAAAAAAAAAAAAAAATTATCTGACAAAAACGGACAATATCAACATATTACAGAACTTTACAAGATACTGTTTAAATGTTATCCAAAGAGAAGATGGATTTTGATTCCAAATTTATAAAACTATCAAATTTGGGTTTTTGCTGTTATGAGGACACCAATCATTCATAAAATATCAAAAGTGTTTTGTAATAAAATTACATTGACCAGAAGGAAATTAATAAATATTCCAACTTTATTAAACCACCCTTAATGTTTATTATTGAAAAAAATAAAATTCAAAATATGCCCACTTTTTACACCACCCTTAATGTTTATTATCTAGAACTCTGTTTGCAATTTCGTTTTCATATTTTTTGGTATTTATTTTTTTACAATTTTTTTTTTACAGAGCTCTAGATAATAAAAATATCAGATGTATTCAATTTCATATTTATATTGAATACACTCTGACCATCATATGTCTTTCTTTCTCTTACTCTGACCATCATACACATCTCTCTCTCTTTCTCCCATTCTGACCATATACAATTTATACAATTAGGAAAATAAGTCATATAAATTGGCAAGAATATTTGTAATTTACATGTTTATTGTTTTACTATGTTCATCAGTTGAGTCAGTAGGTGACAATTACTTCATAAAATTGGTGATAAAGCAGCTGTTATGTAGATTGAAATAGTTTCTCATGTTCATTTCAGACTTTTGCTTGTTTCATCTGACCATTAGTTTCTAGGAGTTCATCTATCTGATTTCATGTTCCACTAGTTCTGTTTTTCTCATAAAGTATGTTTTTCAAGTCAATTGTTCCTCCTCACTACAATATACAAAATGTTAAGAATTAAAATCTACAAGTCAATTTAATTTAATGATGAAAACTTCAAAGGAACATATGGCAACTAACATTCGACTCCAGAAGAAATGTTTTACAACAATATTCATAAAGGTTCAGTACAATTCGGAAAATTTTCACCACCATTTTACATTTTGGTCCCAAAGCCAGGCTTAATCAGGTATGGGTTTTGCTCATTGTTGAAGGCTGTACAGTGGTTGACCTATAGTTGCTACCTTCTTTGTCATTTGGTCTCTGGTGGACAGCCGTCTCATTGGCAGTTATACCGGATCTCCTCGTTTTTATATTAGTAGGTCAAAAGGTCATATAAATACCCTGTATATTCTATTTTTAGATATGAATAAAAGTTGTGAGGGTTATGTGTCAATGAGACAGAAACAAAATAACAAAAATAACCAAAATACATCTAGAGAATTTCTGTTAATTTCTCATTAGCTTTCATAAAATTTCATTGTGTAAATGTTTTTCTACTGATGTAACAAATCTGGACAATTAAATTTCTTGTTACTCTCTCATTAAAAGTATTCTTCTACATCTATGTATTAAATACAGTTGGATTACTCCAATAGGAGTAAGGTCACCTTATCGGCAATTATCAAACATCACATATTGCTCAAGTTAACAGTAGAGGTCGTCTTGACATTGCTGTTAAGTATGTGCATTTCAATGTATTGCTGAAGACCTTACAGCAACAGTTATGATGAAGAACAGCAAGAAAGTACATATTCCTTTCATGAATTGGTTATTTTTTGACACATCAAGAAATATTTGCCTAAAATTCAATTGTGTTTCGTCAACTTTCCAAAGATGGCTATGTGAGTGATACATGGTTTTTAAGCAGCTCCGAGTCTCATTTGAACTAAAGTTGACATCCAGGTAATCAAGGCAACATCAGATTGAGAGGTATTTCAGACCCTTTGCAACTATAACAATACCAACCTTGTATGAGGTGAGATCCTGCTCCTATGTCCTACTCCTTTCAAGAAATTCTGCTGGTTTGATCCTTGAAGCATGATTTGATGTACATCTGAAACACAGAAAATATTTCTTAGTTTTTTTGGATCAACTGCATGAACAATATTTATTTCGTTTGCCAGGTATTTTCCCTAAGATATAAACAAAAGAATCTAAGACAAATACATTTGAATGATGTTGAAATTTGTGATCCACTTCAATCTATAGAAAAAGGTCAATACACCAATCACATCAATTGTTTACTTGGCACATCTTTTTACTGGATATCTTAATTGCAAATGGTATATATAATTCAAAATCTGCTGAATACGATTGAAAATCCATTGTATTGCAAATACCCACAGAATTTCTTAAAAGTGAACACTTACCATTAATCTATTCAGAATATTCTCCATAAGTTTAATATCTTGAAAAAGACAATACTGCATCAATCTGAAAAAAATTAAATAACATCTGGTTAAAGTGACCACTATTGGAAGAAGATTCATTATCCCCCCCTTAATATTATTTGTTGGTGTTTAATGCCACATTCAGCTACCTTAGCTATATCATGGCAGAAATGTTTTGTGTGGAAGAAGCCAGAAAACCAGAAAACATCAGCAGGAAAACTAACAATCCTTATCAATTAAGATCAGAAATCAGCAAGGTGCCACCCGCTCGGATTGAAAACAACCTCAGAGTTGATCAACTAGTGATCTCTTTAGATGAACTACTGATACCAATTTTCCACTGAGGCCCCTACAACAAACTTATGCTTGATTTAAAATATAAAAAATATACTTTGTAAAAAATGTTGTTTGGCAATCCTTGTTTCTGCATGAAATATCTAATTTATTTTGTCACCTTTTTAATATTGATAAATAGCTTTTATTTCTAAATCAATAGTGTTTAAATTAAAATGTTATTACCTAGAATTATACAATCTTTTGCTCCAAAGTCCAAGGATTTACTCAAGGACAAGATGTCGACTACAAGTAATCTGAAATCATCAGGTCTGTATAGGATCCTCGCTTTGAGATCTACACCAGTGTAAATCTAAAGAATTTCTCCTTTCAGGTTGAATATTGAAATCTGGAATAAAAATATTTCACTTTTATGAATGGCATGTCTACATACTTGACTTGAAATAACCTTTAAATAAAACTGTTCAATTCAGATTTTTGTATTGTTTTTTTTTTAAATTTTATAATGATCTCAATATGACTAATTGATAGTTGTCTCAATTGGCAATCATACCACTTCTCCTTATTTTCATAATTATGATGGTATTTGTTGATATATTTCTTCTTTTTTTTTTATATTGTCTATGTTGTTGTTTAACCTCTATCAGTGTTATTCATTGGATGGTTGTAACAAGATTCTCATCTAGCAAAGAATTCCCTCTAATTGGTAGTCGGGGCCATGATCTATAACTTGTAGTAAGATGTAAGCTTAGTCAATGTTGTTACTTTTAAGCTTTTTTGCAATTGTTTACAGGGATTTTTTTGGTCATGATTTAATAAATTATTTCCCTTTGATTAAATTTGTTTTTTTTTTAACTTGTAAAATCAATTCAGGTGGATCATACAAATAATCAAAAAATCAAAAAATCCTGCTGCCTTATAATAATACATTCTGATAAAATATTTAGCTATTGCTTTTATAGGCATTATCAATGTCTTCCTATGAGGAAATGAATTGTCAAAAAGCATTAATTGGAAGTTTTGGTACAAGTTTGCTATTCATTTTCTTATTAGGTCATACAAATTTCACAATTCAACATGTTCAACAAATCCTGCTGCCTTACAATACATTCTGTTCAACAATAAAAAAGAAAACCAGAATAAACTAAAACATTTATCAAATTTATCAAATAGATATTAATTGCAAAAATATCATAAATCAGGAACAAGAACATCACACAATAAATCCACACTAAGTGAGGTTTGGCCCTTGGAATTCAAAATTTAAATCCATGAAAATAATGCATTTTTTACAGACAAACTATTTATACCTTGTGTTTTTCTTTGGATAACGTCAGAATTGGTAATGAAGAGATGGAAATCTGATCAGCTATGTGTTCTGGATACTTTATTGCAAAAGGGAAGCTCTCTGTCTGTCTTCTGAATACTTCTTTGCAACTCAGGAACATCTGTCTTCACTATAGAACATTATGTAAGTTCGTAGTTTTTTAAGCAATTACTTTTAGCTCGAGTTGTGCCAGTTGTCTGACTGTACATGTCCAACAATCTCCTAGAAATCATTTAAGCTTATAGTCATTTTCACAGGCTTTCATTCTCTAAGATATCATTGTAGACTTTTGTTAGATCTTTCTTCTATTTCATTTTTATATAAAAATTCAGTTTCTTCAAACATTATCCTATTGTCCACCATTGCCATGATTATCATTGAAGACACAGTTCTAAAGTTTCACAATTCTCCCAAGACTTCACAATAAATATTTTAACAAATTATACACTGCATTATTCATAGTAATAAACAAATATTCTAGTCCCTGACAATCTGTTTTTACAATTAATATCCTCCTTGTCTTATTCTTTCTCCTAAACCAAACTTTTCTCTCCCTCATTATTCTTCACAATCTGTCTCTCTCTCTCTCTCCCACACTTTAGATATTCCATTATATATATATCAACGAATATAACTTTGAACACTTCAAATTTGGAATATTCAGTTCTTGCCATCCAAATTTCTTTCTCTCCCACTTTGAATATTCCACTTTATACCCAAATATATATTATACTTTCCTTTATAACACTGAACAAAAAATTCACATATTTGGATAATTATTCCAAAATTTAAAATATGCCCCCTTATTACACCACCTTTAATGTTTATTATCTAGAACTCTGTGTACAATTTTGTTTTCATATATTTTTTTACAGAGCTCTAGACAATACATATATCAGCTGTTTAAAGTTAGAGGTATTAGCAAACACATTCAAAATCAGAATATTGCAAAATTTAAGACACTGTTAGAGTGTAATAATCAGAGAAGATAGATTTTGTCTCCAAAAAACTAAAATTAAACATTCCAACTTTAAAGCCATTTACGATACCACAAAAAATGTATAGCTTGAAAAAAAAAGTCATATACTAATGAAAGAAAAAACTTATCCAGCACAAATCATTCACCAAAAAATATTAGTTGTATTAATAAATATATTAAAATTCTTTTTTTTTTTAAATATGCCCACTTTTTACACCACCCTCAATTTTTATTATCTAGAACTTTGTTTACAATATTATTTTTTTTTCACAGAGCCCTAGATAATAAAAATATCAGATGTATATAATTTCATCACTATATTGAGAAAACAAAAATAGAAATATGCACTTTTTTACACCAATTATTTCAATATTGGTTCAATTTGAATTTTGCCATGTTATTGACATTCTAATACCATTCCCTACTCCTAAATCCCCCCTTTTAAATCTTTAGTGACCCCTGCATGTAATAAATTGATATTGAAATAATTTGCCCTAGGTGGGGCATAAAAAGAAAATTTAAAATATGCCTACTTTTTACACCACCCTCAATGTTTATTATCTAGAACTCTGTTCATAATTTTGTTTTCATATCATTTTTTGTTCTTTTCATTTTTTTAGATTTTTTTTTTTTTAACAGAGCTCTAGATAATGAAAATATCAGATGTTTAAGGTGAGAGGTATAAACAAAGACATTCAAAATCAGAATATTGCAAAATTTTAAGACAATGTTCGAGTGGAAAATATAGAGAAGATAGGTTTTGTCTCCAAATATTAAAATTAAAAGAATTATGCATGCCATCTTTGTAGCCATTTTTGAAACCAAAAAAATGTGTCGATTGACAAAAAAAAAACAATTTAAGAGGCTGTCAGAGTGACAGCAAACTGGATTTTTTAACATTGATTTGTGTCCTGGCATTTTTCAATAGCACAAGGACCATAACTGCTGAACGGTAAAAGTGACCATCACCAATTTGAAATTGACCTCCATTTTGTCATCAGTAACAACATGTTAAAATTTGAAAAGCTTTGGTTGAACGGTTCACGAGTTAAAGCACGGGCACGACTGAAAACACCATTTTTCAATCTTTCAAGAACCATAACGCCTGAACGGTAAAAGTGACAATCACCAATTTGTACTTGGCCTCCATTTTGTCATCAGTAACAACATTTTAAAATTTGAAAAGCTTTGGTTGAATGGTTCACGAGTTAAAGCATGGGCACGACTGGAAACACCATTTTTCAATCTTTCAAGAATCATAACTCCTGAACGGTAAAAGTAACAATCACCAATTTGTACTTGACCTCCATTTTGTCATCAGTAACAACATTTTAAAATTTGAAAAGCTTTGGTTGAATGGTTCATGAGTAAATGCACGACACTGTTCGGCAGCCGCCCACGCACAGTAAATCCCCAAATCAATAACTGATTTTTCCGTTGGAAATCCGGTTAACAATTATTTCAATATTGGTTCAATTTGAATTTTGCCATGTTATTGACATTCTAATACCATTCCCTACTCCTTAAGCCCCCCTTTTTAGTCTTTAGTGACCCCTGCATGTAATAAATTGATATTGGAATAATTTGCCCTAGGTGGGGCATAAAAAGAAAATTTAAAATATGCCCACTTTTTACACCACCCTCAATGTTTATTATCTAGAACTCTGTTCCATCATTTTGTTTTCATATCATTTTTTGTTCTTTTCATTTTTTTAGATTTTTTTTTTTTTTTTAACAGAGCTCTAGATAATTAAAATATCAGATGTTAAAGGTGAGAGGTATAAACAAAGACATTCAAAATCAGAATATTGCAAAATTTTAAGACAATGTTAGAATGGAAAATACAGAGAAGATAGCCATTTTTGAAACCAAAAAAAAAAAAAATGTACCGATTGACAAAAAAACAATTTAAGAGGCTGTCAGAGTGACAGCAAACTGGATTTTTTAACATTGATTTGTGTCCTGGCATTTTTCAATAGCACAAGGACCATAACTGCTGAACGGTAAAAGTGACCATCACCAATTTGAAATTGACCTCCATTTTGTCATCAGTAACAACATGTTAAAATTTGAAAAGCTTTGGTTGAACGGTTCACGAGTTAAAGCACGGGCACGACTGGAAACACCATTTTCAATCTTTCAAGAACCATAACTCCTGAACGGTAAAAGTGACAATCACCAATTTGTACTTGACCTCCATTTTGTCATCAGTAACAACATTTTAAAATTTGAAAAGCTTTGGTTGAATGGTTCATGAGTAAATGCACGACACTGTTCGGCAGCCGCCCACGCACAGTACATCCCCAAATCAATAACTGATTTTACGGTCGGAAATCCGGTTAACAATTATTTCAATATTGGCTCAATTTGAATTTGCCATGTTATTGACATTCTAATACCATTCCCTACTTCTAAATCCCCCCTTTTTAATCTTTAGTGACCCCTGCATGTAATAAATTGATATTGAAATAATTTGCCCTAGGTGGGGCATAAAAAGAAAATTTAAAATATGCCCACTTTTTACACCACCCTCAATGTTTATTATCTAGAACTCTGTTCATCATTTTGTTTTCATATCATTTTTTGTTCTTTTCATTTTTTTAGATTTTTTTTTCTTTTTTTAACAGAGCTCTAGATAATAAAAATATCAGATGTTTAAGGTGAGAGGTATAAACAAAGACATTCAAAATCAGAATATTGCAAAATTTTAAGAAAATGTTAGACAAAATGTTAGAGTGGAAAATACAGAGAAGATAGCCATTTTTGAAACCAAAAAAAACAAATGTACCGATTGACAAAAAAACAATTTAAGAGGCTGTCAGAGTGACAGCAAACTGGATTTTTTAACATTGATTTGTGTCCTGGCATTTTTCAATAGCACAAGGACCATAACTGCTGAACGGTAAAAGTGACCATCACCAAATTGAAATTGACCTCCATTTTGTCATCAGTAACAACATGTTAAAATTTGAAAAGCTTTGGTTGAACGGTTCACGAGTTAAAGCACGGGCACGACTGGAAACACCATTTTTCAATCTTTCAAGAACCATAACTCCTGAACGGTAAAA